TAAACTTTTCACAGAAAACATATTAGAGTTCATGGTTTTAATATTAGGCCCTTGTAGTACTACTTTATCGATTGTACTACTTTTTTATATAAATTTATTTTAAATTTAGTAACTTCAATTATAACCTTAAAATTTCAATTCGTGCCTTATACATATATGATCTGCGTCATGTTATCATATGTAAATTTCTTCAGCTAATTGGCAGATCATCAATTAAATTATATTACTGTTGTTGGTAGTAGTCTTGTTATTTTAACTATAATTACATAAATATTAAGGCATTGAACATCAACAGTTTCTGTTTTCTAGAATTTTCAACATCTAAGTAAAGTTGTAGAGGAGTGTCTTGCGATCAAAATGGTGGTTAAAACGTTTAAATCAGCCTGGTGGATCGCGAGATAGAAGTATTTTAGTCTTATGACTATGATTTCTTTTTTATTTATATAAAGAAGAAAATTTATAGTTGCAAAGACTAAAATACTTCTATCTCGTTATTTTGATTGCAAGACACTTCTCTACAACTTTACTTAGATTTTGAAAAGAGGTTTACTTAGTAAAAAAAAAAGTTTTTTTTTTGAGAAATTCCAGATTTCAAAGATAATAAAAAATATAGAAAACATATTTTTATAAATGATCTACATTATGTATATTGTTTACTTGTTTATATTTTTTAACCAATTAAAACAAATGTCCACCATGCTAGTCATGTGAAGGACTCGTATCCATAGATTATATCGCGTATCATATCCACCGATAAACAAGGCATGTGGTTGCATTCCTGGGTACATTCAAATTTGGAAGATAAACAATGCCGATCTTTTGGAAGAAGTAAGCTAAATCACCTACTTTTTGTCAAAAATTTGGAGAAGACTGACAGAACCAAGAGAGACTTAAGGAAAGAACCACTAGTACTCAACGAGAGTATTTATCCTTGAAAAAACTAATGACTAGTAACCTTTTTTTTAGGAAAGGGGAAGAGCTACTGTACTTGCTTTTCGATAAGTAATAAACTCTGGACTTGTCAGCAAGTAGCATATGAGAACTACTTCTAAACGACAAGTGTCGTACAAGCGGTGAGTAATAAACTCTGAAGAAATTAGCAAGTAGTATATGAAAACTATCTCTAAATAACAACTGCTGACTTATAGTTTCTAGTTTTATACTCTTCATTACTTACTAGTTACTGTTTTTTACAAAAAATGTTTGAGAAATTTTGGTTTTAGTAATCGTCGGAAAGAGTTGCTTTTATTTATATATTTTTAATAATGAACAATATAAAATACTAATATATATATATTGTGTCTTATATTGATTTTTGTATCAAATAATACCTAGTCTAAATTAAATTAAGGTTAGAGTAAAGGTAGAAGTTTTTTTAGACCAATTATTGTTAATCATTTAATACTAGTTAACTGGTTATCTAATATATGTCAGATGCAAAAATCGATCTGATACATAATATATATATATATTTTTTGATTTTAAAAGTAATTCTTTTAGTTAATAAAGTTTTATTAAGTAAGTTTAAACACTATATATTATAATAAAGGTATATCAAGCCACATGTGCATTTTTGGTATCTAATTTAAATAGACTACCCAAAGCATTAATGCTATACTAAAGGTTCTACACTATCTGCCATACTTGTAACTTTAACATATCTAGTTTAATCCTATCTAATACAGGTATAACTCACTATATAAGTAGTAGATTTTGTGATACTATTATATTTACTAGCTAATTTAAAACACTTAATTGCCAATTTGGATAAGATCAGCACTATTTCTATATTTAGAATTGGGGCAAAACAAATAGATAAACAATGTAGTATGAAATCTAAAGTGGGCTTGTATATATAAAATTTTTATGTGATTTAAAGAATTTTAAAGACATTTTTACTTATATCTTCTTATTTATAAGTCTAATTTTAATAAAATTTTACTGATAGGTGTACAAGAACCTGCTCTACAACTTTACTTAAAGCTAAAAATAATATTTACTTAGTATAAAAAAACTTTTTATTATGTCTAAAACAGATTTACTAATATATTATTTATTTATTTGTTTATTTCCAATTCTAAATATAGTAATAATATAGCTATTGTGCTAAATTGGCAATTAATTATCCTCAAAAGTAAACCCAACAAAGTGATACATATTCTACACATATATTTATCTATGTGTTTAGTAACTTCTTCCTAGTTAGTACTTGTTGTGCTGCTATTACTAAGTTTGTATCTTAAATTATTCTTTAGGATACTATCATAACCTGATCTATATCTCAAACTACAATTTTTCTAATTAGTTACCCATTACTTACTTTTGTTTTTATTTGGTTCACAATAACTCTAGTACCCACATTCTAATCATATTTTTACTTAAATTTTTTATTAATCTCTTGTTTACTTTTAGCTAGCAACTCAGAAAAATTAATTTATCTAGGCTTTAGATACCTTATAGTTTCCCTTCTTTTGGTATATACTTTTTGAAGTATATGCTCTTTTTCTCTGGTATATCTAATACTTAACAGCTTAGCTAGTATATCTTTTATTTAAGGATCTGGTCTTTAATCTTGGAAAATTTAATCTTCTTGTAGCACTATTAAAAATTATTTATACATCTTAATTCAAGACTTGCTAAACAGGTTTTTAGTTATTCTAGTTTCTCAAATTTATTATACTAAAGCTTCTATTATTAGATGATGTGACTAAGATTACAGATTTAATTCTAAATCTAACCAATAATTGATAGCCATTAACTATAATACAGGTCTATTTTTCAAAATCATCATTTATAGAATTAGAACTCTAGACTTGCTACTTGGATTACACTAAATCACTACACTTTACTAATATATATATATTACTAGTATAAAAAGCAATTTTAATTAGTAAATAATTCTATATAAATATCTATATAAAATATTTAATAAAACTACAATATACTTCCAAAATTAAGCATCTCTTCAGAGCAACTTTTATAGCCAAAGTTCTCATAATCTAATAATCAGATCTATATAATTTTAGTACTAGTAATGTATAATTTTATTTAATCACTGAGTAACTCATAAGTTTTAAACTCAAAGTTTTGTTAAAATAAAATAAGTATACATTATTAAATAAAAATTGTCAAATTTGGCAAATAAGCATATGTCGCTTTGCAGCACGTGTAGCCAATTATTTGACAAATTACCATATTCGACAATTTGCTCAATAATGATGTTATTTGGCAATTTATAATCATGATTGAATACTAAAATAAATATAATTATATAGTAACAATTAACCTAGTGTTAAGAGATAACTTACTAAAATAGCAAGCATATGCATTATTTCAAATAGATATAGCATTTAATTTACCTGTTTAAATCTATTAAATATAACATATCGGTAATAGTAGTAAATCAAATTAATATTTATTTATTTGAATTGGTTCCAGAATTAATATTTTTATCTCGAAATAATACCTATAAGTATATATGAAATAATGCATAGTTGTTTACTATTTTATTGAATCTAGATGCTACACAAAAAATACATGGCAGATTCACAATTTTGATTGGCTAAGAGCAACTATCAAAAAATTAGACTGAAATTACTTATAATTAGGGTTGTTAACTTATAACTGACAATATAATTTACATGTAAGTTACACTGTAATTTATTGTAACTTACCTGGCCTATATATAAGTTACAAAATAGCTTTAAAGCTAATCGAGTTACATGATAATTTTTACTAGTATTAATATTAATTGTAATAGCTAAAAATAACTAATTACAACTAATATAATTATTTTGCTCTACTATAAATATTTTATAATATAATTAGTAATAACAATAACAATTATAACAATATATTTTAAATACAAAGTATTCATTTAATTATTATTATTATTATATCAATCGAATAGTTACAAGATTTAGCAAAAATATAAATGCAAATAGTTTGTAAATTTTAAAGTTTAGCATTTGCAGCATTAAGTACAGTGTATTGTATTTTAGCTAATTTATTATTATTGCTATTATTACAATAAATAAAATTTGACCTTATCATGTGCTAAATGTTATTCATTTATATTAAATGATTTATATTCGTTTATATTAGATGAATTATCTTTGTATAAAAGAGAATCTAAGTTATTTTTTTCATTAATTCTATTTCATCTAAGTTAATGTTATCATCTTCGATTAATTCCAGTCTGTTTGATTCTAAATTAGAATTATTTTCAATTAAATATTTTTTTTGTTTTAATTCATTTACTATAGCCATTTTAATAAATGTAAAGCCCAAAAATTCTAGTATATGTATACAATCTTTTCTATATATGGATTAAGCAGGCAATTACATAGCTTAGTATAAATAAAATTAAATGCAGACCAGTTTTGTTTACTAGCTACAGAAGTTGCAGATATTTAGAGTAATTTTAATACTATATTACTTAGCACTAGATATTATGCTTTAACTAAATTTCACCAATTACTTTAATAAAACTTTACAAATAGCTAGCTAAAAATTTATCACATTTTCCAACATATTTAGCAAACTCATCTAAAACTTGAATTTCATGGTCTAGCAAGATGCATTAATTCTCTTTTAATTACCGAGTTCTATTTGTATAAATTCAAAATCTCATCACAATATTGAGGATCTAATTTATATGCTATCATAGTTGCTGGGTTATATAGAAAATCATTTCAACAATATTTTGCAAATTGTATATTTTTTACAATAATGCTATTTGGAACATAAGTATTATTATATATAAATACTTCCAATTGTTGTAATTTTAAAAATGCAACTGATAAAAGTGGTCTATCTTCTTCAAGCTTATTAATTAAACTAACAAAAGCTTTTAAAAAATTACAAAGATTTTTAAGATCTTGCCAAAACTGATTATCCATAATAGGAAGTTTAATTTCATAATTAATATTTATATTATCTTTGATTAATATAGAATGAATTGCATTTTTTGTTTATAATAAGTTATTTAAACAATAAAATGCTAATTTCTATCATGTATCAACTGTTGATATTAATGAAATAATATGTCTATATTTTTTAATTTGAAGCTGACAAAGTATTGCTAATGATATTAAATAGAATTGAAAATAATTAACAATAGTTTTAGAATTGTCTAAGATTTTTTTGTTTAATCTAATTTTAAAATATCTTTTATCCAAAGATTTATTTTATAAGCCCAACATCCCAAAAATATTTTTTTTAGATATTTACTTTTGAGAATACACCAAGCAGCTTTTATGTTTGGTGCATTGTCTGTAATTACAGCAATAAACTTATTAATATCAAGTTTATACATTACTGCTTCAATTCCTTCTGCAATGTTTATTGCTGTATGTTGCTTTTTTTTTGGTATATACAGATTTATAAAAAATAGGTTTGGAAGTTGAGATTATATAATTAATAATTGAATCCTTATGAATATTAAACCAACTATCTGTTATAAGACATAAAGATTGTGTTTTACTAAATAGATGATTAATAATAGTATTAATATTATTATACTCCTTTGAAAGAAGAGTATTTGAAAGAGATTGTTAAGTAGGTAATTTAAAAAATGGACATGCTTTTGCAAAAAAAACTTTAATATCATCATTTTTTAATATATTAAAAGAAATACTACTAGAATAAATTCCATATAATAATAAACTTGTTAATTCTTCTTGTTTATCTTTAGTAATTTTATATGAATAATTTGTTTTTGTAACTTGTATATTATTTGTAAATATTAATGATTCATCTTCTATATTATTTGAAAAATATATATTATAATGCTGTAATATTCGTAATTTATTTTTAACTCATGTATTTTTATATTTTTTACATTTCTATCTTTTTTGTTTATCCTTGATTATTTTTATAAATCTGTTTCAAAAGGCTTCTTTTTGACATGGTATACTAATAATAGAGAATAGTAAAGGAGGTATAAATTAGAACTATTTCCTAATATTATTTATATATAAATATTGTAAGCTAAATTAAAATTTAGTTTAAATAATAAGCTTTATGAAGTATAAGTTAATTTGATATATGATGCAAACATATGGGTTGAGTAAATAGAAACCAAGCAAATATTTTTTAATAAGTTTTTTAAAATTTTAAACAAGAATAACTGAACAAAAGCTTGATCAAATTCAATAAAAAATTTTTTAAATTAATTCTA